GAGCACCAGCTCTGATGTCCCATCTGTTGTACAGAACTTTGAGTTATTTTGCTTTCTGTAAAATAATAAAAAAAACTTGCTTCCATCTGTGTAAGCTCCCCACTTGCTCAATCTCTTTTAGCTTGTCTTAGTTCTTTCTTATGTCCTTAATTTATTGCTGAGAAGCTTGAATAAAATCCAGAAAAGCTCTTCTCACCACCTTATATTCCATTTTCTGCTCTGACAGTTTGTGTCCACCTATCTTAATATCATAGAGTTTATACTGTAAACTTAATTGATGTTTGCTGCAAGTGCTGTAGGAAAGAAAGGACCATAGATAAAATAACTTCTGAAGTAGGGCTGTCACAATTACATGATTAAAACTGATTAATTTATTAAAATTGCACTTACTTTATCAACGGTTTGAAATAGTAGCACTAATTTTTGTGTGCATCATTGAAAAAGAGGGAACCATTACCAGCAACTTCTCACAAAATTAATTTAGTTATGTAAATTAAAAAATTGCATGTCCATAAAGTAAAAAGTGAATATGAATTTTAAAAATTATTGTAAATTGTAATGAAGCCTAACTCTGAATATTACTGGAGGAGCAAGTTAGCCTATTTGCCAGCTCAGCAGGCAACACATTTTCAGAGTTAGGCATTATTATTTCAACTGCAGAACTGCAACACACAGACTAAAGAATATTTCACTTGAATGTCTGCTGCTATCTTCAGTTGTCCATGATTAAGTAGAGCTGTCGATAGCGAAAGCCCTACTTTGAAGTTTCTGATGTGTTCAGATATCAGGTCATGTCAATGCATTTATTAACACCTTTCTTTCTCTCTCTCTCTCTCTCTCTCTCTCTCTCTCTCACTCACACTTCATTTGTTTCCCTTCCTCCATTCTTATGTTTCTCTCTTTTCTCTTTTCTGATCGGGCAGACCGCTTCTATCAACAGCTTCAGAAAAACCGAGTACTCTCACACGAACTCAGTTTAGTGCTGAATGAAGACTGAAATTTAGAGTAGACTATATACTGAGATTTACTACTGTGTTCCTTATGCTGGAGTTTTTTGCGCTGCGTGATTATGGTGTCCAACACTGTGCAAGATCAAGGAGGATTACAGACACACTGTAGACACAAACACTAAAAGAATGTGTGTAATGACATTCAAGGCAAGCAAAGATGTTATTTCAGTTTCACTGTTAAAGATTGTGCTGTTGTTGTAGTGCAATTTTTAACCCTTAGATGTTGTTGTTATCGCTGGCGATAACAAAAGCATGGCATAATTTTATATCAATTATTTCTTAGTTGTAGCTCATTGAAACAAGCAGATAATTGTGAATGCTGCTAATATTTCAGTTGACACCACATTTGTGTTTGTAAATAGAAGAGGAGATATGATTTGAATTAGATGAAAAGTTATTGTTGTGCGTACAGTCTTGTTTTACAAAGAGAACATTTTGTTTACGTTTATGTTTTTGCCATATCTTGACATCAAAACAAACAGAAAATTCAGAAGTGCAGATTAGAAGCTGCCAATTCAGAATGTAATTTGAATGTAAATGTAATTCATTACATAACTGTATAATTTAATACATTAAGGGTGGGTGACATGGCAAAAAAATGATGCTTGAAGACATTTTCATAATACACAATATGCATCACAGTATTTAGTTTTTTTGAGATTTAAAAAGTTTGAAGAGACAATAAAGAACCTGTAATATTGCACATAAAATACACTATAATAATAATAAATCTACAACTACAATGATTTTTATTAATGGTTCTAGAAAATGTGCTGCATTACATCCAATTAAACAGGCATAATTATACTCACTTTGTAATAAAACATGTACTTAGTCAGTGTTAAGTACTGACGGTATCCACGATATGCTAAGAAAAGCATATTGTGACATAATTTATCACGATAACAATAAAATATTGTCGTATTGCCCACACCTAATGTACATTATGTAATTACATTTCAAAAGTACAGCAAAATGATAGTAATAAATCTAGTCTTCTAAGGGTTCAAGATCACTACAATGTATGGCTTGTGAATTGGAGAGATGTAAAAATGATCACACTTGCATAAACAGTTTAAATGGGATGTTTTTCAGTTGAATACACTGTGGTGTACTGTTACTGTAATAACAGTAACAAAATTACTTTGCCAAAATTACTTTGCTTCTGCATTGCCTTTATCTTATCGACAGCCATACATATTATCCCAATGAATTAAATATCATATCAGTCCTACTTTAACAACATTTCCCAGAGTACCATGATCCATGGTAACCTTCACTCTCAGAGGAGCTTAGGCCTCATCTTCAGCTCTATGTGGCCCAGTGCTGCTTTGGAATAGCCTGGCCTACAAGAAAAACATCACAAACACAGGTCCAATTCACTGAACATCAGGGTCATGTTCAGTGTTGTGTTACTGTGTTTCCATAAAGACTGCTTGTCAGCAAAATGAGGTGATCTGCAACTTCAGAACACAATAAAATAGCACTTAAATACATAATTGCATGTCTAATTAAGTATAATCAGGCGCTCAAAAGGATATTGCTAATTATCCTATATTCCTATATTATATTGCTAATGGACAAGTTGACATTAAGATGCAGAAATCTTAATGTGAAGCTTCAGGAAGACTGTGTAGGCCATGCAGACAAGCTTTCCTCAGGTTTACAAAATTTATGTTTACAATTGATTGCATCTGATTGTACTGGCCTGAGACTTTTAAGGTGACTATAAATAAAGTAAGACATAAATATCAGTACATTTGATGTGTTTTTTGTTTTATCTGCTTGCAGCATGTATATGTTCTGCTTTACTGATTGTTTTTAAAAACAAAAATTGTAGGTCATGGGTTTTAACTGGCATTTTCAACAGAATGTGGATAACTTTTAATTTGATTTTCAATTAGATATTATGAAACAGATTTTCTTTTTCATGCTCACATAAAATAAAGTGTTTCTTCAGGTGGTTGGAAGAGTACTACTCACTACTATACCTAAACTGTGATGAAATGGATGTATACTAAGGCATATTGAGTCTCTTAGACATCAGAGTAATCTTATACATGATAATAGGGGTCGGCCATATGGAAAAATTTGAAAGTGATATTTGAAGGCATCAGTAGTAAACCGTGACTCTTAAACCTCGGCCCTCTGACTCAGGCATTCTGACGGCAATGGGCTGACTTGGATAAACTTCCTAAATCACAAAATCCATCTTTGGCCCAAAACCCACTCTCTGTGCCAAACAGGAAGCAGACCCAGCTGTAGAGATTTTGCTCCTTGGTCGATCTTGTCATCCAGGAGTATCGATCGTGGTGTGATTGCTGTCAAAATGACTCTCAAAAGCCTTTTTTTTGCACCACATTAAACTCTGGTGTAGGTCGTCCTTTGCTGAATAACTCCAACTTTTTAATTTAAAGTTAATCTTGAAAACAGTGTGGATAATAAATTTGCAACAATATCCTCCTCACCTGGTAACACTACTCTCGACTTCCATCATGAACCAACAAGCTGGCTAGCTTTTTTCACTAGCTTTGTGTCCCCACAGCAGGTGGAACTTCATAAAATTAAAGATAACAAAGCCCAAAGAGGGAAGATATGATTGGTCAATTTTGCTGTTATTTGAAATTGGTCTCTCACTGATTTACTATTGCTTGGCTCTCTGTAAATTTATAGCTGGACCACCAATCACCAACGTTCTTTCCAGCAACAGCAGACAATTCTGATAGGGGGAGACAAAGGGGCTTCTTTAATTTAACCCTTCCCATTCCAATACAAAATGAAAAGGCAGGTTTGAAGGATGTATTTGTTTCGTATTTGTTTAGATGTTGATTGTCAAATTATGGTCAGATAAAACTATCCATCATCTAAACCGCTTATCCTTCTGGGTCGCGGTGGGGCGCTGGAGCCCATCCCAGCTGTCATTGGGCGGAAGGCAGGACACACCCTGGACAGGTCGCCAGTCCATCGCAGGGCAGACAGACAGACATACACATTCACACACATACACTCACACCTAGGGGCAATTTAGCACATCCAATTGGCCTGACTGCATGTTTTTGGACTGTGGGAGGAAACCGGAGTACCTGGAGGAAACCCACGCAGACACGGGGAGAACATGCAAACTCCACACAGAAACGACCCTGGTCACCTGGCCGGGAATTGAACCCAGGCCCTTCTTGCTGTGAGGCGACAGCGCTACCCACCGCCCCAGATAAAACTAGAACTGCTGAATTTTAAAATATTATTTTTAGAATATCTTATGCCCTCTATGAGGGCGTAGAGGGCTGTGACGGTTCCCCTCTTGAAGGCATTTTTACAATACACAACATGAATTTTTTTTTTTTTTTGATAAGTTGGAACAGTAATGCCACATTTAAAAAAAGAGTGCAATGCTTTTTGTTCTACATACATTGCTACAGTAAATCCAATTAAACAAAACCATGTGCTATCTTAGTAGGCTATTGAAACATGCAGTTGGTCAGTGTTCTATTAATAATGATATTATCTATGATTAGAAAAGTGTATTGAGATGTAATTTCTCACAATACAATAACATATAGTCATATTACCCATCCATATATTATAATGATAACGGCAAGATAGTCAAATCTCACATAAGGAATAATGGATGGATATAGAAGAAAATAAGATTTGTGTTTATCTCATACTGAAATCAACTGTGGAATTTCGGTCAGTCAAACCCAGCAGTCTATTTCAAAAACTCCTTGTAGATCCCCATGCACTCTAGATGTATTTCCATTCGATTTATATTGTTGTGTAAAACATGCTCTGCCCACTCCCGAGCCATCACCTACACCTTAGGAACCAAAATGAAAGTTTGCTTTTTTTTTTTCAAATAAAAGCTAGTCGTGGTATACCGTGTTAAATGTTCAGAACTGTATGTTTTCTGTCATACTGCGGTCACCACAAAGAGCTACGTAACCACACACATAGACAGGCACTCTTTCCGTTTCCGCCTTTGTCAAAGGCGTCACATCTTAAACAGTTGTACTCCAAAAATGGAGGAAGACTGCGCTTCATCAAGCATTCTAGCTGAAAGTAAAGCTGGATACGTTCTCAGTAATGTTGCTGAAGTCGTGGAGAGAATACTGACCTTCGTACCCACTAAAGCTCTCCTCCGGATAGCGAGGTAAATCTTTAAAACAGCGTTACGTTAGCATTAGCTGGTCAATTGGGTTGATATCAGTGCTACTTAGCTAGCTAACCTAGCTAACCGACTACCGCTCAGAAAAATCACACTTAACATAATAGTAGGAAATGTTGCCCACAGTTAAGTTGTTCATGGTATTTTATTCGTCATGCATGCATTTTGTTTGTGTATCTGGTGTGTGTTGGTAACTAACGTTAACGTTAATTTGCTCGGTCACAGTATAAATAACGCGCGCGTGTGTGCTGTTAGGGTATTTAACTTATATAGCAGGTGTTAAAAGGACATAACCACCGCACTGTAGTGCATAAAATGTTAAAAGAGGTGTACGTGGTTCTTAATTGAATTAACCCAAAAAATACTATGGTTGAACATTGGATAGTCTGAAGTATTTATCTCTGTCTAACGCGGGTTTAACCTGCTTGGCTAGCTGGTATCGAAAGTAAAAGTAATAACGTGTTTATTTCAGTGCGTGAATAACGCATTTTCTGTGATATTACGCATCAAAGCTAACAAACATACCTTGCCATGGATTTACAGTAAAATGTATTCATATTACCCAGTTGGTGACAAAAGGAGTAGTATTCATTCTTGTATACTCACAGTAGCCAGTGCATGCCAGTAGTATTTTAATACAAGTTAACAGCTTGTGATGCGATCAATATTTCATTATTTTCAGGGTTAGTAGGTTATGGAGGAATTGTGCACGCAGAGTCCTGAAAACCCAGCAGAAAATGAGCTGGCTGTCTGCTTTTGGCACGTCCCGATATGAGGAACATATTCTTCTGGGAATTATGGAAGAAGGCTTGGAGGTCAGATGGCTCTTGTATGTCTGTGGTCTTGCTAGTCATAATAGTGACATTTACTTAAAAAATCCTTGGACCATCACTTGTGTTAAACCTGCCATCTTTAGTTTAACAATAACAAGAAAACACATTTTTAAAATCATTTTGTATGTTTGCCTTATGATGTGCGCCAGTTCCCTTCCAGCTAAATTTCTTAAACACCCTTGTTACTTTTCATGTTATATTGTCAGTCAAACATTAACAGCATAAATAGAACCATTACTGCACCGGAGTACATTTGTTCAGATTGACTGTTGCTCTTTGTGTTTGAAGCACTTCTATACATGTTTTTTTTTCAGCTTTACTGAAAATCAAGTGATAGTATCACATAGTCTATGCTTAAACTTTGTTTAATTATTCCTGATTTTTAATTGTCTCCCTATATCTGCAGACCGTGTACCTGCTGCCCCAGACAGCGCTGTTAATGGTAGACAGTGAAAATTTCAATGGACATAATGGTTCTTACAGACACAAAAAAGGTGAGATGTTGTCTGTGTGTTTGTGTATACCACGTGCACATAAACGGCAAATGAAGCTGATAAAATGGACAATGAAACAAGGAGGTGGTTTTAATGTTATAGCTGATCAGTGTGTTTGTGTGTATATATGTGTGTAATAATAAAGCTTAAGATTATTGATTATATCTCCTATATTCTGTTAATTTAGCAAGGAAGTGTCAGGATGAGGATGAGTTGGATGCTATGGACAGACTGAGGCGCTTGCTGCCCAAGTCTTGTGACATTTTATGCATCGTCACCCCAGGAATTGTTTGTAAGTTACTCACTCCAGTCCCTTGCTTTGTGGTTTGACCATTTTGCTGAATTGTTTTTGCCAAAATAATTCTCAATGCAATATTTGCTTTGATTGGAAAGTTTGAGCTTTGAATAGAAAAATAGGTAAACAGTATTTAATTAAAGACTATTATTTTGTCTTTCATATTGTACTTTCACAAAAAAGTAAAAAAATAAAAATAATTTTATATAATTTTATAAATTATGGTTTTAATGGAATGGAATAGTAAAAGATTTTGGTGTCAGGTTTCCTCCTTATGCTCTTTATAGTATGATATAAAGTTATTTAGGCAACATGCTAAAACATCTAACAATGAATTTTTTACACCTAGGCCAGATTTCTAGTGTTGTTTTATAAACTTGAGAGCCAGGCATGCATATAAAAGCCATGCCTATTTGCTGTGTCTTGTCACTACTTGTGTGAAAGATATTCAGGGTGGTAGTTCATCATTTCTTTCTTTTGCAGTGACTCCCACTGGCTTGCCCTGTACTTCCCCTAAGGAGTTCATGGAGGGCGAAGCTGGCTTTAGCCTTCTCTTTCCTGCTATGGAGGGGGTTCAGATCCGGCCATTTCACTTCTGCAAAAAGAGCCTTAACCAGGATTCTTTGGAGGAAGCAGGTGATCTTATGTAGCAAAAAAGATATACAGACTGAACACTGATATGTGTTCATAAAGCTCTTAAAGTACAAATGCTAATTTACAGTTATTCTGGATATTTTGTAGATATTGATCTTATATAAGGTAAAAAGAAATACTGATTCTGAATCATTCTTGGGGTAAAACTGAAAAAATGAAATACTCCAGAATTAGCACACAAAAGAAAGCTCCACACAAAATGTTTATAAATATCTATATATTTGAAGCAATGTCTAGTATTTTTGAAAGTTGGTATTTTCTCGTTTGTAGGGTTGATAGGAAACCCTGACCTGAAGGTGGTGCTGTTGTTTGGCTATCATGCCTACAAATCTGGAGCTGCTCTGTTTCTTAACAAACTGCTGGAGCCTCTGGCCCACAGTAATGTGCTCATCGCTGGTGGTCATGTGGAGAAGGCCTGCACCCAGCAAAGAGACTGGTAGGTTAAAGATGATAACATTCTGCATAAATTTAAATATGATAAGTGTTCAGTATGTGAAGAGGGTGGACATGTGTGCACAGCTGTTCTCCAGGTTCATTTGGTGTGGTGGGTCTCACCTTGAGTGGCTCCAGGATTCAGGGTGCCTCTGTGCTGCTGGACCAGGACGTTAGCAGCCCCAAAGCAGCTGAAGTCACCATCCGTCGGCTTAAAGCGGCTAGCATCCCAGAGAGAAACACCATTGGCTTTATGTTTGCTTGCGTGGCCCGTGGACATAACCACTACAATAATGAGCACAATGTTGAGGCTGACACCTTTCACAAGATTTTCCCCAGCGTGCCACTCTTTGGCTTCTTTGGAAATGGAGAGATTGGCTGTGACCGCATCGTGAAAGAAAACTACACGCTGAGTGAAACGGATGCCAATGGACTGCAGCATGGTTACACCACTGTTATGAGCCTGGTGCACCTTGGGTGATGTGCGTGCATGCACAAACTAGGATGATGCTGACCCTGTCTGAAAGAACATTTCACTGTCTCAGGACATGGTTTGGCTGAGATGTTTATTTAAGCAAAAGAGCAGATTCAATTATTCTGTCAGTAGTTTTTGATTTGCTACTAATTGTGCTACTTTAATTTACTAAACATGTAAATTCTTGTCTATAAGATCAGTTTTGATATACAGAAAGACGGTTTGATTTGCATGGTGCTAACCCTGGCCTTGAAATTGGACTGATCTTTTATGTCGTGCATAGGGCATGGCTATTTTTCCAGTCACTATGAGTTCCTTCTAACTTTTAATGGTTAGGTGTTCATCAGAGTTTATCCAATTACCTGCTTTTAAAGTCAGCCTGTTTTGAAAGTTGTTCTGAAGAATTAGCCTAAAATGAATTTACTCTGGAACCCCCATATGTTAGAAAAACATGCTTCTGCTCAGCAAGAAAAAAATATTTTCCCAGTTAAATTGGGAACAAAATCGGCTAGTGGAGACTTATTTTTCTTCTATAGGAAAACTTGTTTTTCTTCTTAAAATACAGTAGTGCACTTAAATAATGACTGTAAGCATTCCACTGTTATATACTCAACTAAACAGCTTTAATTATGAAAGCAGAACCATTTTTTCTTAGTTCAGGGTTGAGTTGATTCTTCTAATACAAGTGTTTGATTATTCACTAATAATCAGAATGTTAAACTTGCAAACTCTTATGTACTTTGCTATTTTTGTTACTCTTATATAGCTATACTGTACATTCTCCTTCCAAACAAAGAATGGTTGGCTTCAATTACGTCTGCATTGTTGTCTTGTCTACGCAGTAAAATGAGTCAGTGTCTTTAGGCCACTTGGAAGCACCAACAACAGATGGCAGTGTTAAGACAAGATACTAAAGCCTCAGGTTCTGTTTTTTCATTTTCTGACAGGTTCTGTTTAAAAAAAATACACCTCTGTATAGTTGAATTTTCTGAAATAGGATACTAAACGAGAGACACATAAGGACTGTAGTTTTGTTTTACTGTATTTTTATACTTTTTGTAGAGAAAAATCCCTAAAATGACATGCAGAGATGTTAGATATAAACCTTTTCAGATTCATTCTTAATCCATTCTCCTCTAAAGAATTGCTTTGAATAATCTCTCAAAGAACAAAAAAAATGGAAATACAGTCTTGATTTTTTTCTTGTGAGAAAACAGTTACATTAAACATACTGTAAATCCAGTGCATTTTTGTTGTTTATGTGGCTTCCTTTAAATGCAGAGAAGCAAGAATATATTACACTTTACAGTTGTTTGTGACCAATTGACTTTATTGTACATTAAACCTAGTATAGAGCTGTCTATGAAAGAGAAGGAAACAATTCAGTTTCTGAATTGTATTATAGAGTTTAAGAAGAGCCTTTTGTTCTCAGAAGTAGGAGCTAGATACAAGAAAGAGATGAGAGGAAAGGAAAACAAGTGTGCACAATTAAAGAGATACAGGCGTTTTCCAAATGAGATATTCTTCAGGTAATAGTCACTTTCATCATGTTGCTGGCCATAACGGATCTGATGATAAAAAACTCCTGTCCTGTAATCAGCTGACTTTTTACGTGACCATTATTGAAATTCAGCCCTCAACAGCCTTCATTCAGTCCTCTAGAATCCCGAGTTCACCAGTTGTAAATACGACTTTGTTGCCCATTCGAGTGCAAGACAGGTTTTAACTTTTAGTCTTTACTGAAGGACTCATTGTAACTGCAAAATCTAAAGTATGTCAATACTATTATTACTTAATAATATTGTTCTCAGAGTAACCATCATTTTTAAAAATGCCACTTCTGCATAGGATGCACGTGTGTTCCCTGGCTCTGGAAGCCTGTTCTCTCCTCGATTCAGCCACGTGCATTTAAAGAATTGATACATTCTTAAAGATGGCAGAATATGAGTCATGGACTAGAGTAGGTAAGACAGAGGAAACAAACAGGCAGCAATTAAACATATGAGATCCACCCAAGGCAGGCCACCCAAACTATTACCATCAGATAAACAGTACTTGGAGCCTTCATCTTTGAGATAGGAGAAAATAAAGCTCCACTCTTGCTTCAGATCTGAAAAAAAATCCACAGCACAGGTGTTTCAATCCACCCTTCCACAGTGAGAAAACTTAACAGTGAAGGTCTGAAAGGATGAGTAGCTGTTACTGAGAAAAGATAGGATAAAAAAAAGAAGAATATTTGCGAAACTTGGCATTTGTGGAGTAAGGTTTTATGGACTGGTGAGTTTAAACTTGAGATGGAAGTAACAGAAGAATAACAGTATGTCTACTGAAGCAATGAAAGGCTCTTTGAAACATGTCTAGTATACAGCCATTAGTTAAGCATGGTGGAAAATCAGTCTACGTTTCTGGAGCTTCCAATCTGGAATTGGAGATTTTCTTTTGATTGAAGACATCACAAATGCTGATAAGTACAAACAAATTTTAATACAAGATGCAATACCCTTTCAAAAATGTTCAATTGGGAGGAAAATCATTCTACAGCAAGATAACCACTGCAAGCAATCTGCTGAGAAGATCAAGACATATCTGTCAAACAAAGAAGCCGCTGTTGTTTTTAGAACAATGTAATGGCCACACCAGAGACCAGACCACAGCATTACTGAATGTATTTGGAATTACTCGAATCATGAGACGCAGAAAAAAGCTACCAACTTCTAAGACTGATCTTTGGAGGTGTTTAAAGGAAGCATGCAAATGCATTTCAGAAATAATAATAATAAATAAACTGAAAGCAATTATCCCAAAAAGAAAGGAAGCTATGATTAAGGCAAAGGGTAACAAAGGGCACACTAAATACTGAAAATGTTATATTTAATTGGCAGGGCTTTTTGTAACATTTCCTGATGCTGAAAAATGAAGAACTCATAAGAAGTCAAACCTAATCACATCTCTGTGTGGATGTGGTGTAAAGATTTGAATTGAGTAAGCTAAATGCATTCCTTTTTTATTAATGTCAAAAGTTGCAGTTGTCCAATTGCATTGATAAGTAATCACAAATATTTCACAAATACATGGTGATTTTTTACATGGTTGTACTTTTTAATCATTTTTAACTGCCTTTAAAAAGGTGTGGTTATATCATTAACAACAAATCCTGCATTTCACTTGCTGAAACCAAAACTGAGGTCAGAAAGCCCTCAGCACAAAAAATAACAATGGCTGTATTTGAAAAGGATGACCAGTGCACACAGCATCAGATCCATGTGAACATGCACGCCTTTTCCTGTAACTGTGGTCAGGTAGCCCTGAGGTAGCCCTGGAGCCATTTCAGGGCTTTCTTGCAGCAGGGCAGCTGTCAGACTGCGGCTTGCCCCAGGATCGATTCAGGCAGAAATGCTTTTAGGATTGTGCCAGTGCCCCGTTGCTATAGCTGTCCTCATTCTGAGCATTCCCTCAGCTAGAACATAAACTCTAACAGATACACAGGAGCTTTAGGCTCCATTCCACAGAGAGAATATGGTGAAAAACATCTGTCCCTGTCACCTGCCAACCACTCCAGCCACATGCAACACAAACACGCATAAGCCACAGTCGTGCCATACATGCACATTCCCAAAGGACCTTGCTAAATCTGGCCTTTAGGAACAAATGTGGCGTTTTGGCAGAACATGGAGTCTTGGTGAGCACTTTAAAATGACATTCTGTTTGGGCACTTGAGTTCAACCTGCACTCTATTGCCCTCAGGCCACCACAGAACATGCTAAACCTCACCCTGTAAGGCTTTTTCCATGTTGAGAGCAATTTCAAGAACAAGATGGACTGACCCGTGCTCTGGAACAATTGTCTCTTAAAGAGGAATGATTTTGTGGGTCAAACACATGGGACAGGTCACTTTGTCCAAAGGACATTTCGTTGGAGGCTAAAAAGAAGGCTTTCGGGAACAAATTAACTAAAAAAAAAGTTTTGGAAGTATGTATTCGTTTTATCTATTCAATGTGAAGAGGATTCCGGTGCATTCATGAACAAAATGGATTTCACTTGTAACAGTTCCTAGAGTGCTTTTATGTATGGATATGGATATTTTATAGCTTTTCCACTAAGTACACCATCTGAAAAAATATGCATGTGCACAATTCTGACTTTCAATATTATTATTGTTCTGTAAGTAAAACTACTGATAGATCTTACAAGGAAAAGGTATTGCAGTGAATCTCATTGACAGAAATCTGTACATCTTTTCCACATAAATACAGTATATACATTCATTTTAAACAGGCCATTCCAACACTTTGTTTTTGGCAAAGTATTCTTTCAAACGGCAGCTGGTATTTTTCAGATTGAGCATTTTCTTTGCAGACCTCTGCAGATGTGCATCCAAAATGCTTTTGTACACACTACTAAGTTCATGATCCCATTAAAGAAGCTCACTGACACTACTGTGAGACAGAAAGCCCCAGACTTTGATATTTGCCTCCTGTGCTTTACTGTACTCTTAGTGCAGTCTGGTTGAAATTCTTCTCCAAGTTTTCTCCATACAGAGTCTACCATAGATGTTGTGCTAGAAGTGTTTTTCTCTGGAACAAAAATAATTTTGTTGAACATTTTATGAAGTAACATACAGAACTTGAAAATATATTTAAAGTATTATTGACTTAAGATGCAACATGACCATTGATTCTATGGGGATACCCTGGTTTGATAGTATTAGAGTCTGTGTATTGCTACTCCTTATGTTTTATTCATTATGACAGTGACTGTGATTGGTGTATTGGTGTTTTAGGTGGTCTTCTTACTGCTCTGCTGGGATGGGCTGATGCTAAATATTTCAGGCAGGGAAATAAATTAACTTCCCTGGCTGAGTTGGACTGCTCTTGGGGAGAAAATACTCTACTGGGGCATTTTAGACAATAGATGGTCACATTAAACAGGATTTGATAAAGTCTATGCATATCCGTCTATTTTTGCCTCTTATCTGTGTACATCTTCACATTTCTCCTTTCTACCTTTGCTAGGTGTTTGATTATAACACTTCCAAACTTCCCAACATTTGTAATCACAGAGAGAGCAAAAAAATGGTCAATTACAAATTTTGACTTATCTAATTGACTATTTTTGGAATGGAAATCTAAAAAAAATCTTTTTTCTAAAAGGAAAATGTTAGTGATAATTATTACTAATGATGGGCATCATACCAGTTATTTAAGATGCATTTTTGTGTAGATGTTATGTTCTCTGCTATTTCAAGAGCCCTTTTAGATGCTTAATTATGCAGAGGTTAGCCATAGCATGAGAAAAGCATTTCAGTCTCCATGAGGACATCAAGACAATAGGATTTCGTGATCTGTCAGCCTATTTGCATATCTATCTAAAACATTTGAATTATTTAGGTCTATTATCATTAAGGAGCTGTCAAAACAGAAACATACCACTGCTTCTCTGGATGTTCTTTAATAAGCATTACACTAATTAGCCATCATTAATTTAAAACCGTTTTGTTTCTAATTAAATGCATTCAACTATTTGCATGTGTAATTGTTAATTAAAAGCAACTCAGACATTCTAGAGCAAATACACCATGTTTAAAGCACTCTAGTGCTACTTTGTGCCATTAACTGTGATTGCTCAGTGGAGCAGTTATAATTAAAGGAAAGCATCTCGCTCAAAAGCAGCTGGTTCTGATAAAACTGCATGTAACACTGGCTGACCAATGCACTTAGAAGACATATTTTGTAATGGCCTAATCATGATTAAGTTTATTTACAAAATACACATAAGCCAGAAGTTCTTAAACTGATCCTCAGGGCACCCCAGACGATTCATATTTTTGCTCTATCTCTATGTGTTGAGAGATGCCTTGAGAAAAATTTGTCTGAGGGGACTTAAGGAGAAGCTTGAAAGCTAATGATACAAGCAGTTGAAATGCTAATTCAATCAATCAGATAAATCTGTATGATAATTAACACTTGGGAAGTATGTTTTAATTTTTAAACAGCTATAATAATATTACATGATGTATACGTAGTAACAGTATTTATGAAGAGTTTAATTCCAAAATGCTGTAAATCCATCTGCAACATTTTTTGATACAATGAGTTTTTGAAAAGAATAACAACTGATGTATAATGGAAAATATTTTTTTTAATGGAAAACACATTATTAATATATAGCATTGATATGTGTTGTATATGTAAAGCCCAGTACATACAAAGTATATCACGAAAAAGAGAAAATTCTTGAAAATAGTCAATATATGATGTGTTTTAGAATTAAACCCTTTATACAGCAATAGTATATGAGGCATGTATGATTATGTATATTTACTGACTAGATTGAAAAATATATATTTCAGGGCATTTCAGAAATATGAAATTAGAGTGAGCTTCTTCAGTGCTTCTGTCATTTCAGGGACAGCCTAGGAAAAAACTCAGCCTGAAAGCTAACATCAAATTGTAGCCAGTTGTTTGAAATGTTACCATTGTGACACACACACACACACACACACACACACACACACACACACACACACACACACAAACAAAACTGAGCCCAAGCCTCCCATTCCAGGACCTCAATAATTCAGCAGAGCTACATTACCATTGGGTGGAATAATGGACGTTTGAGAATTCATAAGGGAGACGGTTTACATGTTTCGTCTGACTAAGTCTGTCTCTGGGTCGTTGATGTGTCTGTGGTCATTGACCAAACCTACATTTGGAGTGCCGGGGCCTATTCTACAAAGTGGAATTAACCACTACACTTTCACACTGCAACCAAGATGGCTTTAACACTACCACAGAGAAAGATATCATTAAAGCAAAGAGCAAGAGTGTTCTTTTTTATTTTGCATTTTAGTTTTTGAACTATTGAAACCAAAATATGTTATTATTCATCTTGTGAAATGTCAGACATGTATCCAGAAACCTGTTTATGATGACATTACATTAATTCTTCATCTGTGGTTTCCATCTTTGTAATATCAGAAGCTCTCCTTATTTGATATATTATCCAGAGCACTTGCCTAAAGGAATGACCTAAGATGATTTTCAATGTGCTTTTGACAGTGAGCTGGTGTAACAGTGGCATTCAGAAAATGTGTTCCATTGTCAACAGAGCAGCTGAATACTTCTGGTCTGAGTATTAGACACCCAGTAATTTTGTCCCTTCAATAACAGCAAACAGAGGCTACGATTTTAAATGTATTACAACTGCATGAACTCATTAAAACACTTGCATCCAATAAAAAATGCATAAACTGTAACTTTTACTTTTACAGTATTAATTTGATGTTTGCCTCGGTGCTGTAAAGATGCACATTTCATGTGACTATATTATGTGGACCAGCATTAATCCAAAGGGAGACACTACAAAGGGTCTCAATTTTGTCTAGTGTGACTGAGTGTGTGGACTGATAGATTACATTAACAAAGATGCTGACAGAATATCTATAATATTTTAATTTTAATAAAAATGTCTCACCTGGAAAAGCCACACAGCCACAGTCAGTGACCTGGAAGATGGGGCTTCAGGATCCTTATTAATTGCAACAATAGTGTGTCACAACAGAATTATACATACCGAATATGTACTACAGGAACTGAAAACTTAAATGTCTCTAAACCAAACACTCAAGGTTAAAGGTTCTTCACATGGGATGAAATCTAAAATCTAAATAATAATAATAAAATTAAACAAAAGAATACAAGTAAATAAGAACAAGAGTCTTGCATTAGATTAGCTATTTTATTTGTAAGTAAAAAAAAAAACTTTTATAGATTTTTTCACAATATTTCCCTAGCCTGAAAAAGAGAAGAAACTAGTTTTAATGGAGTCAGCCTTCAATTTTGTACTTCTTAATGAGTGGTGTTATTCTTCCATGCATTGTTCATGAAAAGTTCACTTGAGAAGTTGACTGGTCTTTCTGGCACTGTGTTTAAGCGATGCATCACATACTTGTACATACTTGTATGGAAACAATATACCCTCACTTAAAAAGCAGCACAGTACTCTATGATGTTCCCTACAGTCAATCCTTAGTTCCATTACTGTTTTTTATATTCACATGCTGCCTTTGTAACTTCCATAGCTATGCAAATAATTTATATCTGTAGCGCATGGTGGTGTCAGTACTGTAAGTCAACTTGTACGTTGTCTCATAAATTAATTTAATTACATTAATTACATTGATTAACATTAAAAGGATAATTTACTTATTGCTACTACTACACCATGTGTTCCTAAACACAACACATATGGATAATGTTACTAAGACCAAATTCTTTGCCAGAGTTAGACTTTATTTGGTTAAAGCTTCACATATTTAGTGTTTTCTTGTATATACTATGGCAATGCAGTTTTCACTGGTCTACCTAAAAACACACTATGAGACTGCGACTGCATACCACCAGAAAACTAGCATGAATTTCATTGCATATGCACATGAACATTTTTCAGTGCAACATATCTCTCTCATTTGCAGAGGACCAGATAATAAAAATAAGAATTGCTCACATAGCTACTGTGACTATTCTGAATCCTACAGGTAGTTGTAGATGATTTTGAAGGCAGAGTCAATAAAAGATATTACATGTTCAAAACATGTAAGGACCATACATTTTTGCACACTATAGCACTGTATTAGATGAGTGAAATATGTAATTCATTTGACCCCAAACAGTCTTTCAGATGGATCTGAGCCCAGAGGAAAAAAATGCAAATAAATTATAGATATACTTAAAAAGCTTCTTAGGTTGCCTTTTAGAACATTCTTCTTAAGTGCACTGCAACACGTTGAAGTGAAATTGCTCGAAGAGAAAAGCCACTCAAGAGACTGTTGCCATGACAACAAAGAGTTTTTACATTTTGCATTTACATAAAACCCTTTTTTTGAGCGGACAGGCACTCCCTCCCCACCAGCTTCCTGTTGGTGAAGTGGGTTAGGTGTACAGATGAAGAATCCAAGACTATCAAGCAGGATTTGCCCTGAATTTATATGAAATCAGAGCTCTGCCTTTTTCACCATTATCATCATTCAGTGTATTTAATGACTAAGTGGCTGTGAAGTTAACTACACCAGGAATTTTTCTGACAAGTTCTTCCAAAATTATTGTTCTCTAAGCGTGAAGTTTCAGTGGACATTTATTGTTTTGTAATTCAATCCAGTAAAAATACAAACAATATTAATATAAAATAAATATATAGGTGAACATTGTTCATAACGCTGGAGCCATACCAAACATGCACAGGCAATGCATGTGCGCAGAACCAGAACTGCCAGCACTTGTGATAAAATCTTTGCCATAAAACGCATTGGCCAAAACAAACCTTCATTCGTTTGAACTGAAAATTTGTACTTTGTCATTTCACAGATCTCTGTCTTAAAAATTAAACAAATGGTTTAAGAAAGTTGTATGAGTCAAAATCAAAGTAATGCTAATATTACCTTACTGTCCTTTATCCCAGCAAGGTGTTGAATGGCTTCTGATACGCCCACTGCAAAGTATAGTTCCTGCAAATCAAAACAAAGACGGTAAGTAACCCATAGGAAAGACAACCCAAAAAGGGGATTTCATTAATATATCTGTTCTTTTCCTTTGAAAAGGCCCAAGAAATCTCTGCCTCTTGAATTTTAGTCGAGATCTTAATAAAGTCACACATGGTGCTCATATTTGTTTAAATAATAACACTCATTTTTATCTGCATCTAAAGACATGACCTCAATTTCTTATCTAAGACTAAGAGCCTTTGCAGTTTTGATGCTTTGAGTATATGGGTCATAAGTATTTTATGTCTCCTTTTTGTCTAAAGCTATTTCTCCAAAGGTATTTTTTTTACCATCAAGTCTCTTGAGCCACATAAGAGCAACATAAGAGCAAAATATATTTTTCCTGGTGACATAAGTCTTGTAACCACACTAACCAAATGACACAATTACTTAATTTTGCAGCAACTTTAGAAATTTAAATTTTGGAAATATATTAATGTATAACACAGCATATTTTGACTAGAAGCACAAATCTCCAATCTCACAATGTTTAATTTAATTTTAATTAGATTTTTAGCAAATGTATGCAACGTGTCATGATATTTCAAATTTCAACAAGATTACAATACACCACACCTTTATTTTAATTTTATATTTGAGCACATACTTTAGCGAATAACCCTATATTCAATTATAATGAATGACTTTGAATCACTGCCCTCACATCAGTGCATCATGATGCATTGATGTATTTTTACATTTCTTTTGTCAACCCACTCAATATCACACCATGGCATACACACACACACACACACTACATTTTGTACTGGACCATGCACTCTGACCATGCACTCTGACCAGGCCTCTGAAGTTCCCACAAGCACATAAGGAAAGTACTGATGTATGTGTGGGTCTATCCCGGATTGCAGCCCAGCAGCACTTCCCCATAACCTCTCACGGGAGCAGCCCATCAGTTGCTCTCAGCTAAATGCACTCAGATATGAATATTTCAGAGCCATTTACTGCTCCTGCTGCAGCCCCTGAGGAGCCCAGCATCAATTTGTGAACATGGCGTTAAAAGCTGGGCCGTATAATCCAGAGTGAGAGCTGCTCTTTCCACTCCACTCTGCCTCACACAGCCTTGCTCCCCAGCTGCTCACTAACAGCACTGACAACTTTCTGTGTAAACTCCACTTGCCCCTTCCCAGGTTAAAAATATATGGGTATCTGAGTGAACGGACAGACAAGCAGGTTGGCGATTTGCCCCCACTTGGTCAGTTTTCCCAGAGTGCTCATTGCCATGCTGTGTGCTGGACATTGAAGAGCCAGTAGGAGGAACTGCATAGCCTGTTCATCAGTGGCCCCATTGTGCTGCCAAAACAGCTGTGCTGACAGTAGCCAACAGTTTTCAGCATCTCCAAAGGCAAACACAGAGAGGGTGTGAACAAAATAGTCTTTCAACTGACAAATTATTTGGCAAAAGTAAACAGTTAATTGATGACTAATGAGGATCACTTAACATTAACACAAACCACTTGTTCAGGAGTAAAAACATGAACATTCCGCACGAAATATGGGGGAAAAAACCCACTGTGTAGAATCATACATGCTTCTTCAGTTTCTCCCAATAGAGGAGCCCATTCATGTGCTAGGTAGAACACATTCCATTTTCAGTAAATAGACAGTGAATATGTTACATCTAGGCACATCAATAAACATTCATTTTGTCACAACTTAGAGATAAGCCACTATCAAAAAGTGCACTGACCAAAAACAAGGCGAAAAAAGCAACATTGCATGTCTTGCATGTCTCTGAACTTTAATTTTTTTGTCTTTTTAAGTACTAAGACTGGAACGCGCAACCTTGTTGAGGCTATTTATGACTGCCTCACCGCTATTGCTTATAGTGCAGCTCCATTAAATATTACAATAACTACTGTTACTTTGCAATTTGACATGAATTTTGAGACTGCAAAAAACATTATGAAGCTATTCATGAGACATAAATATTTTAACAAAGACTGAAAGACTGCACCCAGAACCTCAAATAGCTAGAACATTTAATTCCTTTATTTAAAAATGTGCCTAAATAAGCGCTACTGAAAGATTAAAAAAAAAATCAAAGGGATGTTAAATAAAATTTATATGAGCTCAAATTAATTTCAGAGTTTTGAATCATGGACCATCAAGAGAAAACAAGTGTTTTTTTTTGTTTGTTTTTTTTGTAAAGCGATATAAGTCATATTTTGGTTCACATTGTCCTCCGTATCGCAGTAGAAAAATCAGTAGACTTTATACAAAGTAGGTTATTTTTTACTGACTGTATAATTGCCCACTAAATTGTAAATAAAAACCAGTTGATCTGTGCACAATTAAATGAAGTAATGAGACTACAGGCTGTCTCATAGCAGCAGGCTGAGGTGCTGTTATCTTCATTAAAGTGACACACATATTTGTTAAATCTCTTAATAAAGCTATGTTGTTGGAAAGAGCAGTGAGACAAGCTCAGACCTTTTGTAAAATAAAAGTGTAGACAGACAGCTACACAGATAGAGTACTAATGGCTTTGTTTCTTCTGCTAACAATGTAGAAATGCCCACAGGCAGTGATCAAAAATTAATATTAATTATTATGTGAATGCTGCATTAAGTTGAACCCATGATGAATTATACATTCTCAGCATGGTTCTACTTTTAGAGCAGCGTGCATAAGGACCTGATTTTTTTTCTCTTCAGTCATTTTGAGTGGCTGCCAAAGCATAATGTACTTCCAAATATCAAACAAAGAAAACTTTTAACCTATTTAGGTAATTAAGCTTTTTAAACAAATGTATGTATGTATGATAATCATTTAGGTAATGTTCATAATTGTAGTGGTTTCTTTGTAAATTGTACTGGATTATAAAGTTAAACGTTATAGGTGTGAAAAGACACTCTGAGGATGTAGAACTCAGATTGTCTTGGCACTGTTCTCTGTCCTGGGGACTGGCTGAACACAGTGCACTTTAAATCTGATCTATAATGAGTGTAGTAAATCATTTAGGACTTAAAGCTGCCATTAGCCACGCTTAAACTCTGCTAATGTGTGCCCCTGACAGCTGGCCCATCCCCACCGGATAGTGCCATGGATCACACATTTCTCAGCTTATTCAGTTCGAAGTAATGAAATTAGAAAGTCATTTTTTACAGTAGGACACAGAGCAGCACCTGTCTGTGATCTGTGTTGTTTGTGGTAAATATACGTATGTTTAGTCATGCTTTGGTATTCCCAGTGCACATGTGAAGGCTACACACAAATGCACATACACAAGTGTAGACTTACAGTACATAGACAAACACAAATAAAATAAACACTTTAATTCAACAAATTTAAACAGTTCTACTGCAGTCTTCTTTACTGAAAAATTCATAATTATTTTGCTTTTCCTACATTTCCTACATATACATTTCCTATATACTGACAGGAGCCACAGTCTTGCTAGTTTGTCCAGCCTGCAAATCATTAGGGACAAAGCCTGCATCAACAGCAGCTTTGAAAGCGCCCACTGCAGTCAGAATATATAGAGAAAGAAAGCTATTATTGTTATGCTACTGGCCAGATATTAGATTCCACACTGACAGCGCTTGCTCCTATACCACAAAAACACATTATTGTAGTATTATCTGTTCCCATGAAATAGTTACAGGGGTTTGTATAATATTATTGCCAAATACTGTAATATATATAACCAAACATCCAAGTCAAACTCATTAAACCTAAATAGAATACAAATATTTTGCCTCTATTAGTTTTTCGAATAGTAACCACACAATGATATGTTCAGCATTTGTCCACATAGGGTCAAGCAAATTATCTCCACTCACCTCCTAACACTACATTTTTCATGTTTCTCCATTATTGTGAGGACATTTTGTCACTAGAGCAAGGTCTTAAATAAAGTACATACAGAACTCTATGATCTTCACCTGCAGCGTTCATATTGCCTGCCAGGTCATGGATAAGCTTGAAGTTGTCGCCATTTTTCAATCCTCAACAATTAATTAAGACGAAGTTATCTATTGTCATAAAACACACGTATATAGTTCAGTCAAACAATCAAACAAATAAATAAAAAAGTTTGAACTGCAGTCCTTGCTCTTTCTGAAAAAATCTACAGTTTTTACAGCTTATGAAAATAATATTTTCTGGATTGCAAATGATTCTGACACATTTTTTTTCAGTCATTTTTTTTATTTGAAGCTCATTTGCTCTAACTTTTCAAAACCAATATGTTATGCAGATATTTTATGACGAATATGAAATATGCTGTTTGAATGCATAGTTTAATTAATATTGGGTGCTTTGGGGTAAGTATGCATCAGGTTTTCCTGATTTATACATTTTTATGATTTTATCTATTCAACTACTGTAGTATATTTTTCAGTTTTCATTTCTTCAGATTCATAGCCTGAACAGTGATCTTTAAAGATGATAACATTGTTTATCTAGAAAATGTGGCAGTTACTTTAATGGTTCATAGTAGGCCAACTTAGTAGATACAATTTCCAAACACACGAACGTCAGGCAATATCATTTTATCAGGCATCTGCAGTGCCTATTCCAACACTTCCACCCTAAGGTGATAGAAAACAATGGCATATACATTTATAAAGCATGGGTCCACTTACCACAGGCATGTTTGCCCAGTAAAGACAACACAATATGACTAAGTTAAAATCAGATAGCTGAGATGTGCAAAGACTTAAAAAAGAATTTAAAAATAAGAATTAAAAAAAGAATTAAAAGGAATAAAAAACCTAAACCTAATCATAGGCAAACGCATACTGCCACATTGAGAATGAAAAATATTCCAATGGTCCATTTATGTCTTACTTCTCAGTAATGTTGCATTGAAATAGCATTAGCTGTTGCCTTTGGCTTTTTCGCAAAACTCCTGTCAGCTTTTCTGGTAAAAGAGTATTGTTAGTAATAAAATTCCAATAAAAAAAGGATTTTAAAATTTGATTTTGGCTTTCAAATGGTAGAAAACAAGATACTCTATGTGAAACAGAATCTAACTTTTAAACACTCTCTAGTTACATCTTTTAACAGCAATTGGAGCTTCAAATTCAAACACTTTTGTGCTGATCAAGAACTGAAGCATGAAGCAATGACGGATAACAACAGTTGCTAAGCAGTGACCGGAAGGCTGAGAAAAGAAGGTGAAGCTTGGCGAAGAGTGCAATAATTTGATTGGCCATAATACTATAGCCATAATACTACTCAGCTTATAAATATTCTTTGCCCATTTGATTGGGTAAGTCTGTGATAAATCTAGGCAGGTCCAGGCCTTCTCATTGCTACACCCCTTGTTCATAGATAAAAACAATTTTTGTCCAATTATGAGACGCTTGAGTCCTTGTTAGGAATGCTTTTGTCTGGGCAATTATCGGGCTTCCAAAACACATGGGGTTTGAAGACTTAAGCAAACATTTACAGACAAAAAAACTGAAAATGTACTGTCAGAGCAAAGGACCACTGATTTATTTTCTCACTGTACTTAACTGTGCTCAGAGCATTCCCTGAAAAAGTAAACATCTACACTTGACTGGTCTTTATCTTTTAAATATGGACACATGCATACAACACTGCAACAACAGCAAAACACAGATTTGAGTGATCTTTTTGGACTCCAATGACAAGAATTTTGACTCCATCCTTTATGGTGTATTTCAAAAATACTTGTAGAACACCCATGTAAATAGTTGAGACAAATGTGTCAGGAGATTTTATCTCAATGACATCAGAAATGGTGGCAACAAAAAGACGATTATGCAGACAGTTGTAGTGAATGAAGCAATATCATAAAACAGAACAACACTGAAATTGTCAAAATTTGTCCTCATAATGACAAATGAGGACAACCAAGATATGCTTTTTGGAAAACCATTTAACTAATGATCGGATTGTATTCCCATCTTCCCAAAAGCAGAGGCTCCAGCACAGATGTGTGTGAAGCAAAACTGCTTCAAAATTGGTGGTGTGAGCTCCTCTGGAATATGAATGGAACCTGATTACAAGGTCAAAATTACACTGAGAGAAACACTAGCATAGAAAAATGAAAGGCAAATTCTTAACACAGCACAATATAAGCAGACCTGGTAGCAGACCCTCATAAGCATGGTTATTTGCCACCAGAATCTTGTTCACCCCTATTACTTTACTGACCTGGGCTGCAAACTTTGAAGTAAAAAAAAAAATACTTCATAACAAGGCATTGAGTGGCTGAGGGTTATGGGTGTCAGCTTGTCATCATTGTGTTCTGTCACCACCAATGTGCTTTGACTATGGCGCAGAAGACTTGCCTGCAAAAATTGAGAGGCAGACAAAAATGTTGCTCCTTAAACTCCTGGTAAATCTCACATCAGGTGCTTGTTATCATGTATAACACCTTTGTTAGTGATTTATTCAAGTGAGACAAATTTGTGGGTGCTCTACAAAGTCAAATAAAGTCTTATTAAGTTTTAGCCAAGCCACTGGTCGGCTAGCCAACACTGAACTTATCTAAAGCCTCAAAGGATAGCAGCATGTTAATGATTGCATACTATATTTGTATTAATTATTTTCAATTGATAATGTAAAATGCAGCAGTCGGACATCTGTTACATTTAAAGACCAGGCTGAAGTATATCCGCAGTTTTCAGCTTTTGCGCGACTTACAAAATTTTCATGACAAGGAACTTCTAAATGAGACTGAAGCATTAAATACACACATGCGATTAGCTATGGCATATTGATCATCAAATCCCTGCAGGCTGCTACAGTGGATACGACATCGGAACGAGGGTGTCCTTAAACGAACTCTAACTTAATCCCAGCTGTCTAAACTCCAGTCGGTCAAAGGCTACTACATTCAGAATGACGTAAAATCTGCTGAAAGGCCTTCAAAACATGACGGCAATGTAGACAAACGGAGGTGGTGTTAATAGAAACACGAACCACACTTGCCAACTGCCTCAGACTGTGTTTACTAATCGCTTTATATACTGCACACAGTGCAAATTGACAAATGTCTCGAGGGGAGCGGGAGTCTCGCGTTGATATCGCGAGATTGGCCGTTTGACAGCTAGCCGCGTGATGAATGAGGCACCCATCCCCTGGAGTTTGAGCTACATTATTTCTTGAACAATTTAACTCAAGGTTCCCAATCCAAATCCAGGAGAGCCAGACTATTCACATCTTTGTGCTTTGCCTCATCTAGCACACCTGATTCAATTCACTAACTAATGAAAGGGCACTTCCACCGATTTTCTTATTAATGCAATTGTTTAGACGTAAAAAAGTCATACAGGGTGGTTTGATGTGAAAAATGTTGAATGAAAAACTTAAAGTCAGAATTCTTTACAGTGGTGGTGATGGGAACCAGACGTCCGTAGAGTTTAATGACTCTAAAAGCTCCCTCAAATTATTACATAAAATGGTTATGAATACGCTGCCTGATGCCTAAGACATTGCTTTCCGATAGTTTTCACATTTTGGAAGATTTTGGCTTACGGTGTATTTTTAAATCCATTTATGGCGGGCATCATCTGACATAAACCCTCTAAATGATTTTATTTACAAGTAAGCGATTGAATTGCAAAATCCGGTGGACTTCCCCTTTATCATTCCGGACTGGATCTGGATCAGGTGTGTAAAGCAAGGAAAACCTGAAGCATGGGGTTTCCAGGACTACGATTGGGAACCACTAATCTAACCACAAATTACAAATGTATCACTTGTTTGTAATTTAACCGACCACGATGACATCAGTAGCCTACTGTAACAGTAGAACAACATTGCGATAATAGACCAAGGAATAATAATAATAATAATAATCATCATCATCATCATCGTCATCATCATCATCATCAACAGCAGCAGCAGTAGCAGCTTAGACCTAAATATCTCGTTTTGCACATTATCTTTGGATAAAATATAGTTTTATTCAATGTTTTATACTGGTCCAGCCCAACCAGCTCCTCAATCTGCATTTCTCTGCGTTTGTTATTTAGTCTGCGGTGTTTCGGTCAAGAATATCTTTAAAATGTGTCTAAAATAAAGCAGTTCACGTTACAGATGTTAGGCCACTGAGGTTCATGTGCAGCATGCCATTACAACGGTTTATGTAGCAACTATGTGCACATAGGACATACAGACTATGATAGATGAAGAGTAGCCTAAACTAGATTCTAATGAATAAACTGATATGTAGAAGCTGCAGCTAACATATTCACTAGAAAGGTGAGTAGTAATTGCTTACATACGAGTTAAATGTTCTCAGGTCAAAACTTTTAATTGAACTTTTCCATATACTCAAGCATGTGTGTTAGGAAGTCTACTTTTTACTCTAATTTTACTACTAATTGCTATTCTGTGCTCAATTTCACTGCTGGTGACAGAATCTGTACTATTTTGCACCTGGATTTCTGAGATCGATCGATTTATTTTAGACCAAAAGTGCATCAAACATAGAATAACAACGCCTAAGAAACCATAGTTTCTGTGCTGGTAGATGAGACGTTCGACCTCAGTTCTATAAGTGACCCAGTGTGTAAGCAGGTTTTTTATCTGCTATTTTTATACTTTTACTAAAGTTGGTTTATGTAATGTTTTTTTTAACTTTTAAAAAAAGTCTTTTCACCGAAGTAACAATGTTTATGTAAGTATTGGTTCAGGCTATTCTACCCACCCCTGCTGATTAACAAATTTATTTACACTTAAGATAACCTTGTATTCCGAAATGTATATGAAGTACTAGTTGAACGGCAACAACAACAGTATAAAATAGAAACAAGTTGGGATGAGGACAGATTGCACCTCATGATAGCTAAAAAAAAGCCCACTGGAATACGTTTAAACCACTATTAAATTATTGTTACAAAAGCAATTTTGTGCAGAAACATTATGAGAAACCATGATTTCTATTCTATTTCTCATTTCATATGTTAACATTACTTATTACATACTGTATTGTGCATGTGTCGTATTTTTGGTAGTTATTTTGACGTCTTATTTCGCCCACACAATTTGTGAAAAAATGGTTTATTTGCCATTTTCCCCATTTCACATGCAGTTGTCTATTTCTCCAATAGATGTCATCCTGTGTGTGTTTAAGGAGAGCAGGCTTTAGTCAAAATTGCAGACGTAGAAAAAATTGAATTTGTAACTAATTGGCAGATGTTTATGATTCACACTACACACAAACATTAATACTCAAAGTCCGTGTGTAGGCTTAATAACATCGCTGGAATTCAAATCGAATAAATGCTGCTCTTTCTTACAAAGTTCCAGCCCATTTTCCCCACCCAGCGTACGCTTGCGTTCAATGAGTTTGATGTACTAACGTAGAAAACGTTTCACAGCAACACGATATGTTTTTGCCTCAGCGTGCTCGACGTGCGTCATCAATCTTGACTTCAGACTGTCCCTGGATGCCTGTTGCCCCGTTTTGCTGAATCTGTTTGAAAGCGTGACGTCAAATTTTGTGCTGGACAGTATAGCTTTTTCCTCTACCCGTATTTCGACAAATCCCACCACCTGGGCATGGATTGGCTAGTAGTAGGACCGGACACAATTCTAGCCAGGCGGACTGTTTGCGAGTAAAAGCTACTAGCCAATCCTATGGCAGGGGGCGTAACTCGTCGGAATACGGGTGTTAAAAAAAGAAGACTGCGGGGACTCTCTCCTTCTCTTTCTCTCCATCTCTCTCCACTTCTAACTCTAGTTGTCAGGCAGCCAGGACCGAAGCCCTTTCAGTTTCTTCGTTTCCTCTCGAGCTCATTTCAGTAGTTTTGTATGGTG